TATATATATATATATATATATATATATATAATGCCTATTAAAAACCCATTTTTTTTTCTTTACATGCTCATGTAAGACGTTTAAACCAAAACACTCGCTAGACTAGCTTTAATCTAGCCGTCTCCCGAATGCTCTAAATTGTTTTTCATATACCACTGCTAAAAAACTGCCTTTTATAAAACATTGAAGAATAATTTTCAATCTGAATGTCATGATGGCTAAAAACTAACGCGAACGAACAGGTTTGTACCGGTATCGGGTGGGGGATGTGCTGAGGGTGACTGGATTCAAGAACAAGGCTCCACAGTTCAGCTTCGTGAAAAGGAAGAACGTAGGACTGAGCATAGACTCAGACAAGACTGATGAAGTAGAGCTTCACGCGGCAGTTGAGAAAGCGGTGAGGAATCTGGAACCTTTCGGAGCTGCGCTGGCGGAATATACCAGTTACGCCGACACGACGATGATACCGGGCCACTACGTTTTGTACTGGGAGCTGAGAAAGGGAAGGAAGGAAGTTCCTGCTTCAGTATTCGAAGACTGCTGTTTAGCTATTGAAGAATCGTTGAACAGTGTGTACAGACAGTGTCGGGTGGCAGACGGGTCAATCGGGCCTTTGGAAATCAGGGTGGTAGAAGAAGGGAGTTTTGATAAACTAATGGATTATGCGATCAGTCAGGGAGCGTCGATCAATCAGTACAAGGCGCCAAGATGCGTGAGACCAGGACAGGTGGTGGAACTCATGGAGGGGAGAGTGAAGGAGAGGTATTTCAGCCCAACGTGTCCCAAGTGGAGTCCTGGGAATAAGATGTGGATGGGGAAGAACAATGGTGCATGATCACAATTAATTTCAGTCTTTTTTCTGTATGAAATTATGATCTATTAGTCCTAGCTGTGGTGCTGCTTTAGGCTACAACTTTGGGAGAAAAGGTTCTTTTGTCCCCCCCCCCGCCCCCCCCCCCCCTTTTTTTGTTTTTGTTGTGTCTTTCTTTTTAATTTATGTGTTTTTTTTTAATTTTAATTATAGTTTAGTAATATGTTCATGATGTTGCTAGCTAGCTAAGAAGTTATTGTTCGTGCAGGTAATGTACAAAAGATTCCTCTATGAAGCAAGCTTTATTTTTTCTTCTTTTTTAATAATTTGCTTGCCCATATTTTCCACGTTTCTGTTGCATGCTAGGAATTCTGGCCACCAAATTATCATGATCAGCTGCACTAGAAAGAGAAGCTTGAGAACAAAAGGATGTTGCATGCAGGGATTTCCTAGAGTATTGATATGTCTCCTATGTAATCTAATGTCTGATCTGTTTTAATTTTCTTCCAAGGAAAGGGTATTTTGTGGTTTTATTACGGTGAAGAATCCGTAAAGACTAAATAGGTTTGGTTTTTGTCGTTTAACACGTTGATGACTAACTGCTGGTCAAGCAATATATGAGTTTTGGCGGACAGATTGGAAAAGAGAAGTAGTTATATTGTTGTTGATTAAGTTGAGTGCATCGCTGCGCTTTTCTTCTCTGCCACTTTGCCTCCCACTAATTGTGCTTTGCTATATTTGTTTTGGGTTTCAGAATATCTTTTAGTTATTTAATTTAGACTAATTTATTATTAGCTTTAGCTTGATTTTCGTTTTCATTGACTTTATCGTACAAAAAGCCAGCCATATTTATTTCTTTTCTTCCATGATTCATGCTTACTACAGTATCCTGAGTGAAAGCATTGTTGCAATCAATTGACGGAAGAAAGGCTAAAATAAATCCTATTTCCATAGTAATATAACTGCTCAAAGCATTGACAGTTTTCAAAAATGGAAAAGGTTTTCTGATTGTGTATTAAAGCGAGTTGCTCCCCTTTTTTGCTGTTTAATTTCATTCGTACTTGATGCCAACGCAAAAACCTAAAAGTGTTGTTGCACTTCATGGAAATTTATGATACAAAATCAATTTCTTATAAACCTAAAGTCATAATTTTTTTATGAAATAAAACGCTTAAACTCACTCAAACTCTTTTTAGAAGATGCGCTTTCCTTCCTCTTTATCCCTTCTCTCTAAGAAATGTGTGCATCTATACAAATTTAAAACTAAGTCATGCAACACATCCACTACTAAATACAAACTATGGTAGCGGTAAAAGTCTATGCTATTTTCAATGCAACTTATTTTAAAACACTACAATTGTTAGCGCTGCAAATATTTTTAGCGCCGGTTTTAAATGTTTAGATTTATTATTTTTAATAGCAATTTTTTAAAAATTTGTTTAAATAACTGTTGCCAAAAACCCTAAACCCTAAACCCTAAAGTAATAAAATAATTTTGATCTTCAATTCTTTAAATAAAAATCCGAATACGCTCATGCATCGGATATGAATTTTCAAAACATATTAAAATTTCAATAATTTCAATTTCCTGCAAACAAATTTATTTTATTAGACTTTTCCCTTTAACCTAACTTGTAATGTCAAGAAGGCTTTCTAACTTGACAAAAATCCTTACTTTAGTGCATAATTAATAATGATGTCCACTCATTGTGTGCTTCAATTCCATTTTATTTTCCCTGCAACACATTTCCGAATGTAGTTATAACGAGCATCAATGTTTTTGCTTCTATTATAAAACATAGAACTTTTTTTCTGATGCAAATGTTAATTTTATTGATATGGACTCTCTTATGAAAATCACAATTGTTTGAGGAAATTTTTTAGCCAAATAACACGATAAGTATATAAATTAGTAGCATCGTATTTAACTTCATAATTTAAAAGTATAATAATAGATTTTTTTTCTTTAATTTACTGATAAATAAATCATTTTTCATAAAAAATACAAATTTGTGATAATCCTTTTTTATCTAAATTTCTATTTCAATCAGCAATAATATTTCACTAGCGATTAGTTGTCCATTTCATATATCAAAGTTTATCTTAGCAGTTCTGAAATAGGTTATTGCTAGAGATTTCATGTGATAGTTAACTACAAAAGGGGAGAAAATTCTTTTCTTCTAAAAATAGTACAGCCTTTTGACCAGACTTTTGTAGAGCATTGGATCTATTGATCATTTCTCCTTCATCATGTTTAGACAGCTTAATTTTATATTTCATTAACACTTTAATTAAATTAGAGTCATACATGTTCAAGTTCTGCAATACTGCTTCAGAATAGTTTTCTTGAGTGATGAGGATGCATATATCTTATTTGTTTCAATGTCAAAATCAAGCCATGTATATTTAAGGACACAATAAAAGTATGTCTATTTTGAACTCTACTATAAAGAACATGCTCACATGGATATGTTGTAAAATTATTATCAATTCCCATAGAGCTTGCTTTAGATCATATATGACTTTCTTTAACTTCAAGATTTTCTTCCCTTTCTTTTCCTAGAAGCTGATAAATGTACACTTTTTTCTTCAAAAAATTCTTTAAAAGCAGAATATCCATTTGATCGCTCTTTCATCCATATTTGGCCTCTAAGAATATGTAAAAATGATTTCAAATCAAGTACAAGAGCAAATATCTCATTAAAAATGTTATGTTTTATTTATTGATTTATTTATTTATTTATTTTACCTCCTTTAGGCACCAATCTTATTTTGTGCCTTTTTGCATATTCCTTAGCCTTCTTTTTCATTTTATAAATCCATTTTGTTTCATTTATCTTGTGTTCTTATGTAACTGTAGTGAGCTTCAATGTATTTTTATTTGTAATTACTTCCATCATACCAAAAAAAAAGTATTACTTTTTACTATTTTTCTTAAATGACTAAAGGTTCATAATTTCTAATAAATGAAAAGGTAATGTCTTATTGGCTATTAGATATCTCATAAATATCTTATAAGAATTTAAAATGTTGTATTTCCAATTGAAGATATCATTAATATTGATCATTCATATTTATTTTTTGAAATTAATGGGGTGTAGACCTCTTTTGCTTCTTCTCCTATAATTTCTTCTTTTGATTGCTTATTTAATATGTCTACATTAAGATAAGGAAGAAAATTATAATAATCTTTATGCATTCTTCAATTCCAAAAGTCATTCAATCAAATTTTATATCGTGTGTGACTGGTGCGTGACTGATGAGTGCCTTGCCATTATTTACATTATGACGTTTGTAGCCAACCATTACACACTTCTTAGATTTATTATAAAGTTTTATTCTTATCTAGAACATGGAGATAAGCAATATTTCAAAGGTTCTTAAATAAATAAATA